AAATTCTCAGTTAGTTGAATCCAAGCTATTGCAGGACATTGGCAATGTGTCGTCGTTGTTGGTGCTTGGTCAGGGTGATGCTGCGGCTGTTGCTGTCCGGGTTTCTTTTATTGCCAGGAATTCTCCCAACAGTAGATTATCTTAATTTAAAGATATAGCTTAGCTTGAACTATACTCCAAGCACTGTCGCACACGCATGTCTTCTCTACTTTTGTACGCTTCGTATGGGTCACACGAACACACACACACACATTTCACCACTCAGTCAGTTAGTCAGTCAGTCAGATTGCTGTTCCATTTTAGGTGCTCAATCTGCCCAACTATGTTCACTTACCATTGGCGGCGTGAAGCGTACATGAAATTGACCGGCAGTTTTTTGCGTTGTTGTTGTTGTTGTTGTTGTTGCTGTCGTATGTATCTATGACCACAACTCCTTGGCTTGATTCGGTTCACCTCTTAAGTCGTCGTTGCTATCGCTTTTTTCTGTTTTGGCCAGGCTGTTGTTGTTGATAGGATTATAAATAATTCACATTTGATTAGAGTTGCGAATAAATTTTTGTTCTAATTCAGGAAAATCACGACAACGTTTAACATTTTGCGTTGTTGTTGTGGTTGGTGTTCTGTTCACGATCTCCTCTTTTTCCTTAAGAGTAACTCCTTTTTGTGGTGGGGGAGTGTGAGGGAGTTGATTTCACTGTGAATCGCCTGTTCTGTTACGTTTCTCTTTTGTGTGTTTCTGTTTCTTTTATGGTTGCTCTAAAATTTCCTAAGTTTATAAATATAGCTTTATTGGCCTCATGATAGTTGTTTTTGTTGTTACTGTTGTTCTCTTCGGACCTCTTTAGATATCTATAGCTTAAATAAGATCACGTTTATGGCTAACTTATGGTTTATTACAAACCTTATGTGTGCTCAAGTCATTAAATATCCGTTGTTACTGTTGCTGTTGTTGTTGTTTTTTTTTTGTGGACAGGCGGGGTATAGATTAAGGCATTCCCTGGCATAGGAAGGTTACGAAAGGTTAAAAAGGTAGTTACAGATAATGAACTTGAGAGCAGTGCAGTGAAGTGCACTTCAAGATATCTATAAATTGCCGATAATAGAAATCACAAGCATTGAATGTTCGATCAGTGAGAGGAGGGGGAACAACTAAAAAAGAAGCAAAGTTCGGCCGGGCCAAACTTTTTATACTCTCCACCATTCGCAAGGAACTCAGAAAATTTTCCAAAAAAATCCGTCGAAAAATACCGCTCAAATGAAAACCTTTATATGAGGGCTATACGAAGACGTAATGCTGGATAAGTAATTTTCTGTAATTAGGCTGAAGTAACGATTGCGGACCTCAAATACGAAATTTGACACAATTCCGGTGAATGATGTCGCAAAAATCCTGGAAATACCGAATATCTCGGGTAGCTTTATATGGGTGCTACACTAAAACGTAGACCCATATAGACAATTCGCTTCTCGGGGGTAAAGTACTCAGAGGGAACTGTTTGTGTAGAATTTGAGACAATTCCATTGAAAATGTGGCTAAAATCATAAAAATGCCGAATATCGGGGGGCACCATTGTATGGGTATTACACGATATCGTGGACCTATTTAGACAATTCTCTTCCCGGAGGTAAAGTGCTCAGAGGGAACTCCTTGTGTAGAATTTCAGACAATTTCATTGAAAAATGTGCAAAAACCATCAAAATTCCGGAAATCGGGAGGCAACATTTTATGAGGGCTTTACGATATAATGGACCAATATAGACAATCTTTTAGGGGCTAAAGTACTCCGAGGGAACTCCTTGTGTAGAATTTCAGGCAATTCCATTGAAAAATGCGGCTAAAATCATCAAAATACCGAATATCTGGGGGCAACATTGTATGGGGGGCTATACGATATCGTGGACCTTCATAGAAAATTCTTCTTCAGGGGGTTAAGTACTAAGAAGGGACTCCTTCTGTATATGTTGAGCCAATTCCATTGAAAAATGTGGCTGAAGTCATCAAAATTCCGAATATCTGGGGCCAACATTGTATGGGGGGCTATACTATATATCGTGGACCCATATATACAATTCTCTTCTCGGAGATAAAGTACTCAAAGGGAAATGCTTGTGCAGAATTTCAGACAATTCCATTAAAAATGTGGTTAAAATCATAAAAATACCGAATAGCAGGAGGTACAGTTATATGGGGGATATGCGATGTCGTGGACCTATATGGACAATTCTCTTTCAGGGGGATAAGTACTCAAAAGGAACTCCTTGTGTAGAATTTCAGACAATTCCATTGAAAAATGTGGCAAAAACTATCAAAAATTCGAAAGGCACCATTGTATGGGGGCTATACGATATCTTGAGCCGCATAGACAATTCTCTTTCAGGGTGTGAAGTACTCATAGAGAACTCCTTGTGTAGAATTTCAGACAATGCCATTAAAAAATGTGGCTAACTTCATCAAAGCACCGAAAATCAGGGTACCGTTTTATGGGGGCTATACGATATCATGGGCCGATATAGCCCATCTTCGAACTTCACCTGCCTGCAGACAAAATACAGGTCTGTGCAAAATTTTAGCTTCCCACCTTTATTCCTTTTGACTGCAGCGTGATTACAACAGGCGGGCGGACGGATAGGCGAACAGACAGACAGACGGACGGACCCATACTATGTATGGTGGAGGGTGTAAAAACATTTAAAATTTTTTGACACATCAATGTTCCCAAGCGTTGGCGCATCTACCTGTATTTTTCTATCATGGCACGCTACTCATGTGTAACTCAGGTCCACGTCTTCATATAGCCCTCATATAACGGTACTTCCCGATATTCGGTATTTTGATGATTTTAGCTACGTTTTTCACTGGAATTGTTTTAAATTTCGTATTCGAAGTTTGTGATGGGTATTACAGCCTATGCCTAAAAGTTCGTACTCAGGTCCACGACTTCGTATATCCCCCATATTACGGTACCTCCAGACACTCGATATTTTTTTATGATTTTAGCAACATCGTTCACCGGAATCGTTTCAAATTTCGTATTGGAAGATCTTAATGGGTACTACAATCTGTGGCAAAAATGTTCGTATGCAGGTCCACGTGTTCGTATAGCCCCCATATAACGGTACTTCCCGAAATTCGGTATTTTCATGATTTTAGCGACATTATTCAGCGGAATTGTAACAAATTTCGTATTTAAAGTTCGCAATGGGTACCACAGCATATGAAAAAATTTTTCGTAAGCAGGTCCACCTCTTTGTGCGGTACCCATATAATGGTTTTCAATTAAGTGGTAGTTTTCGGATTTTTTTGTTTAAATTTTCAAGTTCCGTTCAAATGGAAATGGAACTTAGCTGCTTTTTTACTTGTTTTTATACCCTACACCACAAGGTGGTCAGGGTATTATGTCTTTGTGCATTTGTTTGTAACAGGCAAAAGGAAACGAGATAGACCCATAGTTCCTTTTGATGATCTGCATAGAAACACATTCTGAGTCGATTTATGTCCGTCCGTCCGTTTGTCCATGTATTTTTGTAAACAAAGTAAAGTTCGCATTTATTGCCCTATCCAGATGAAATTTTGCACAAATCATTTGTTTGGCCCAAGGACGAACCCTATTGAAATTGGAGAAAATCTGTCAAAATTTAGATATAGCTGCCATATATATCTTCGTCCGATTTGCCTTTTATTGTGCACCAAACGTTTAATATCAATCCGAATAGTATGGAATTTCGCACGTACGATCTGAAAATAAGTATGCCAAATTTGATCGAAATCGGTTCAGATATAGCTATAGCTCCCATATATATTGTTCATCCGATTTGTTATTTTTGTCCTCCGCAGCCGTAATATGCACTATGTAACAACAATATTTGGGGAAATATATCAAATACAGCTCAGAAATACATTTGCTAAATTTCATCGAGATCAGTTCAGATTTGGATATATCTCCCATATGTAACTTCGTCCGATTTACCTTTTATTGTGCAACAAACGTCTAATATTTGCCCAAATGGGATGGAATTTGGCACATACGACCGAATTGAGTCTACAAGGTAGTATGCCAAATTTGGTGAAGATCGGTTCAGATATAGCTATAGCTCCCATATATATATTTTTCATCCGATTTGTCATATTTGTTACCCACAGCCATAATATGCACTCCGTAACAATGATATACAGGGAAATATATCAAATACAGCTCAGAAATATATTTGCCAAATTTTATCGAGATCGGTTCAGATTTGGATATAGCTCCCATATATATCTTTGTCTGATATCAAATTAATTTTGCATCAAATGGGCAATACAAGTCCGAATTTAAAAGATACAAATGCTACGGCATATTTAGTCCTTTGAATTTTAAATTATAATTATAATCATAGCGTGTATGATTGAATTCTCCCATAAAAACTTTTAATTGTTATGTTGAGCTCAACTAAATTAGAAAGTGGTGTAGGGTTTCATAAAATCGGCCCCGCCCGACTTTAGGACTTTCTTTACTGTTTTTTTATATTTTTCGCTGACCGATTAATATCTAAAAATGTAAAAAAATCAGTTTTAGTCGTTACGACAAAGGCATGTCGCACATTTATCTCCCAAAATTTCAAAATATGACCAAAATAATATGTTAACAGTAACAGCCTGTTCCACGATCTCGAAAGAAAATTTGTGCGAACGAAGGCTACTCACTCACTTTCGCATAAGAATGTGTTCCACTAACTTTCGTTCTTTCTTTCGCATAGCCTTACGTGATTCAGTGTTGCAAAATATTTTTTGGCAAAATTAATCGCGAAATAAGGCAAAAAAAAGCGCCAAATGTCTAATATAAACGCGAAAAAGCAGCAGTGGCTCTGTCTCAACTGACAGTTCAGTTGTAAACAAACAAATTGTAAATAAACAAACAAAATAAAATTTCTAGTGATTGTGTTCAGATTATTTGTGTTCTTAAAAAAGAAAAAAATGAATATTTCTGTAGCCCTATTTTTTATGGATGATGAGGAGGAGGTTCAAATTGTGCCACGGAGGCATTTAAGAGATGCTTCGAATTTATTTGAAGTACCTAACAACCAGTAAGTATGATTGTATTTTTACATTTTTAAAATAAAAAAATGATTTTTTCTAGGTTTGTGTCTTCCAGTGGTCTTCATGGGATTGCCTGCTGCTTCCAAAAATTGGCACTCCTCTGGCGAACTTAGGATTCTCCCCCATATACTCAACTATTGCCCACAGCTGTGTAGTTTTTTCGTGCTGGAATTGAGAAAATAAGAAAATATATATTTGTTGTTCACAGATTAAATTGCATTTATTATTTTTACTTACATTTTTCTTTCCATTTTCAATCAAGAAATGTTTATGTTAAAACAATTTTCCTTAATTTTTATCATTCGACAGCAAACACACAAGTGACTGATTTTGACATTTGTGTTCGCATGCGTACGAAAGAAAAAAGATAGTGGAACGCAAAATTACACTGAAACGCTTACGTTTTCGTTCGCTTTGATTTTCGTGCAAATTTTCGTTCTGATGGATTTTAGTGGAACGGAAATCAGCTGTTTGTCGTGTAAAAGTTGTGCGAACGTGTTCTTTCGACATCGTGGAACAGGCTGTAAATCTTAATGTTGACCATAATATACGTATGTGTGTGTGTGTGTGTGTGTACGAAAATCACAACTAGTCGAAACACACTACATATTCGAACAAATGAGAATTGATGTTCTCTTGCTGTGCTGTGAAACATTTTTACCGTCATTCACGTTGGCTCAACATTGAAATGTGTTACAAATTTTGAAACCAGCATGACGAAAATTCTAGGCTAGATTCCAGATTTTTTTCTTCGTTTCATCGTCGGTCATTCGTCCGTTCGTTCGTTCATTCCTTGCTTCCAATAACCAATAATGTGTTGTACATCTGTGCTACAACTCCTGGCACTGTCATAACATCAGGCCAGCAAATGGCATAGACAGACAAACCGGCAGAGAGTCAGGGAGTCAGAGAATTTGGTTTAACTCTGTGAAGCCATAGAAGGCAGATTAAAGTAATCCACAAACTGCGAGACAAAATGTGGTGCTGATTCGCAACCAAATGCAAAGCATGAACAACCGTACAGAAAATTATGGTAACAACCATTAAAGAAAGTCATTACAATTTTGGCCGCCTCGTAACTGTTTAATAAATTATTGCCACAATTTGCACAAACGCACATTTCAAACACACACACACAAAGAGATGCTCATGACAAAAAAAAAAAATAAAAGAAAATTGGCAATGATGCTGTACTAGGCAGTTTTGTTGCTGCTGCTGCTGCTGCTGATGATGATGATGATGATGATGATGTCCACAATGACGAGGACAAATCACAACAAGCGGGCCTCCATGATTTCATCTTTATTTCGCCCAAGTCATACTGGAGCAGCTGCTCTCCAGCCTTCGTCTGGGCCCAACATCACTGAACGCATCTCCATGAACATCATCATCAGTACAGCACCGATTCCTACACATTGGAGGCGGTTGAATTTCCATTTTTTTCGCTTGACTGTTTTTTCTTCCTCTCCTTACGAAATTAAGCATTTTAGGTCGTTGTCGCTATTTACTTGCCAGCACGGCTAGGTTCATAATAGTCAACCAAAAAATACCAAAAAAAAAAATGACTAGAACCCTTGCGGTAAAAAACAACAGCACCAACAACTAAACTAAAGATAGACGCATCCATGCAGTAACAATCAGCAACAACAGAGACGGCCAAAGAGTTCGTAAAGAGACAAACAAAAAAAAAAAAAAAGACGTTGACTGTTGTTTATGACTGTAGATTTTCCGATGGGAAAACAGTTGCCAACAATCACGACAGTAACGCAACAACACTAGCACCACCACCACCACCACCAATAACTACAACAACAAACCATTCAAGGTCCATGCGATGCAAATTTTTGGGCAATTTTCTGTCTTCCATAAAACAGTTAATGTTGCAATAATGCGTTGCGTCCATCGTTTTCCTCGTTCCCCCCGCCCCCCAGAACTCTCTCATCTTCTGCTGGGCTAATTCGTTGCATTTACGGGGTTCAATAGTAAATTGCGTAGAACATGTGTATTCGTAGGTGTGTGTGTGTTTGTGTATAAACAAATAAAAAAGCTGTAAGTTCGGCCGGGCCGAACTTTGAATACCCTCCACCATTTGGAATGAATTTGGCAATTTTCAAAAAAAAAAAAAGAATTCGTTAAAAATTCTGTTAAAATATTAAAAATGCTGAATGTAGCCGTTATATTAGGGTCCATACAACGACTTGGACCTATATAGACAATTTTTCGTCATAGGCTGAAGTAACCATATCGAACTTCAAATACCAAATTTAAAACAATTCCGGTGAATAATGTAGTTAAAATCATCAAAATACCTAATATCGGGAGGTACCGTTATATTGGGGCTATGGGAAGACGTGGCCCTGCCTAGACAATTTTCTGTCCTAGGCGGTAGTGTTCATTACGAACTTTAAATACCAAATTTGAAACAATTCCGGTGAAAAATTGTAGCTAAAATCATCAAAACGCCGAATATCGCGAGTTGCCGTTATATGGGGGCTATACGAAGACGTAGACCTGCACAGACAATTTTCTGTCTTAGGCTGTAATGTCCATTACGAACTTCAAATAGCAAATTTGAAACAATTCCGGTGAAAAATTATCCCTAAAATCATCAGAATACCGAATATCGGGAGTTGCAGTTATATGGGGGCTATACAAAGACGTGGACTTGTGCAGACAATTTTCTGTCATAGGCTGAAGTATCCATGACGACCTTCAAATACAAAATTTGAAACAATTCCAGTGAATAATGTCGCTTAAATCACCAAAATACCGAATATCAGGAGGTATCGCTATATAGGGGTTATACCAAAACGTGGAACTGCACGCACAATTTTCTGTCATAGGCTGTAGTATCCATTACGAACTTCAAATACCAAATTTGAAAAATTTCCGGTGTATAATGTCGTTTAATCATCAAAATACCGAATATCAAAAGGTACCAGGAGGAGGTATAGCGGCTATACCAAAACGTGGACCTACATGGCCCATTTTCAATACCAAAAGTCCTGCAGATATAATATACATTTGAGTGAAATTTTATCAACCAACTTTGTTTCGTTCGGAAGCTAGAGTGCTTTCCACGGACGGACAGACGGATAAACGTATAGTGGAGGGTATACAAATGGCTTCTCAGTAGCTATGGAAGCTAGAGGTTTATCAAGTCAATCCAAAACTTTGGGTTAAAGCTTTTGGGAAAATTTCTCTGTGTTTGCTCGATTTTACTCGGGAGTGAAAAATACTGACTAGCCGGAGTCTCTTGTTTTGCGGGAGCACTCGCCCGGAAGTAACACTATATGGGAGCCTTACCGAAACGTTGACCGACATGTCCCATTTTTAATGCCAAACATACCAGGGATAATATAAACGTCTGAGAAGCATTTCAGAGCGATGGAATGTTTCCCTGAATTAATCTCCGTTCTTTGGGGATCTCACCCCACTGTTCGTCTGTGGAAATCGTTTTAGCTTCCGAACGAAAATAAATAGGTTCATAAAATTTTACTCAAATGTGTTTTATGTCTGCAGGACTTTTTATACCCTACACCACATAGTGGTAAGGGTATTATGTATTTGTGCATATGTTTGTAACAAGGACGAACCCTATTAAATTTGGTGATAATCGAACCAGATTTAGATATATCTTCAACCGATCTCGGATTAATTGTGCACCAAATGGCCAATATAAGTCCAAATGAACATGAATTTTGTTACATCCCACCGAATTCAATCTAGAAGCATGTTCATCAAATTTGAAGAAAATCGGTTCAGATATAGCTATAGCTCCCATATATATATGTTGCATCCGATTTAGGGGTTTAAGTTTCTCACATGCCTAATATGCGCTCGAGAAGAATGATATTTGGTACCGGACATCAGATACTGTTCGAAAATACCTCTGTTAAATTTTATCGTGATCGGTTCAGATTAGGATATAGCTCCCACAATTACATTAAATTTGGTGAAAATCGGTTTAGATATAGCTATAGTACCAATATATATTTCATCCCGTTTGGTGTTTATATCCCACACATTCCTAGTATGCATTCGATAAAAATGATATTTGTTACCAAATATCTTATAGAAATACCTCTCGGAATTATATCTGCCAAATATTTTAGAAATCGGCTAAGATTTGGATATAGCTCTCATATATGTTCTTAATCCGGTTTCAGGTTAATACTGCACCAAATGGCTGATATCAGCCCAAATGGAGTAGACTTACGTTTCCATTTTGTGGAACTCGACCCCGATAAATATGCATAGTGGTGTAGGGTATCATATAATTGGTCCCGCCCTACTTATGACTTTTCCTACTGGTTTTTATTGAAAATGGGCTATACAGGGCCGCTCGATTGGTTGTAGGAAACACCCTTGCATAGAATTGTCAATACAGGTTCAAGTTTCGGTATGAGCCGAATACAAATGTACCTCCAGATATTCGGTATAATTTGTGTCAGGTTTTTCACCGGAATTGTATAAAATTTGATATTTGAAGTTCGTAATGTGTACTGCCATGTATGACAAAAAATTCTTTGTACAAGTCCTTTGTATAGCCCCCATTTAACGGTATCTACCTATATTCGGTATTTTGGCAATTTTTCAACGGAATTATCTCAAACTTGGTATTTAAAATTCGTAATAGGAGCCGCTTTCTCTAGTAGATAACTTATGGGGGTCCACTTTTCGTATAGTAACCTTGCAACGGTACCTTCCTATATTCGAAATTTTTATTACTAGAATTATGTCGTACTTGGTGTTTAGAGTTATTAATAGGCACCTCCTTCTCTTTTTTGTATAGCCCCATATAATTATAGCGTAATTTTCAAAGGATTTTTTTTTAACATTTTGCAAGTTTCCTTCATGTTTTGGAGGGTATTAAAAGTTCGACATTGGCTGCTATTTTACTTGTTTATATTTTCTTTTCAATAAATCCGCATTGTCATATTATGGCCTAGTCCATTGGAAATCAAGCGGGTGTTTCTTGTCTTATAATCATCATCCAAGGAACTACAACATTATTTCCCGCGATTGGTTTGTCATTATATATGATGATGCTGATGTAGATGCCAATGAGAATGACAACAACGTGGAAAACAACACACACACACATACGCCAACCATTCAAAATGTGTGACGCAGTCTGAAATGAGATTTCATGTTAGCGAATTATGCTGGTGATTGTTTGTTAATATCTTTGGCAATTCTCAATCCTCCTATGTGGCCATGGAGTTACGGTTAATTTTCAATTGATGTCCTTAGTGCGTTGTTGTTTTTTTTTCTTTGATCTTGAAGTTTTTTTAAATGGGAGGAGGAGTGGGTTTGATCATGTTTTGCAACTTGTTAGGAATAATGTCAAACATGGTGGAGTTGTGTCTGCAAATGATATTGTGATTTTTATACTCTCAACCCTAGTATGGAGGGTATATTAAGTATGTCATTCCGTTTGTAACACCTCGAAATATACATTTTAGACCCCACAAACTATATATATTCTTTATTAGCATAAAATTCTATGTCGATTTAGCGATGCCCGTCCGTCTGTCCGTCTGTGGAAATAACTCTGGCTTCCGAACGAAATGAAGTTGGATCTTAAAATTTTACTCAAATGAATATTATGTCGGCAGGACATTTGGCACTGAAAATGGGTCATGTAGGTCCACGTTTTGGTATAGCCCACTTATAATGGTAACTTCCTATTTTCGGTATTTTGGTGATTTAAGTGACATTATTCACCGGAAAAGTTTCAAATGTGGTATTTGAAGTTCGTAATGGATACTGCAGCCTAAGACAGAAAATTGCTTGTGCAAGTCCACGTCTTCGTACGGCCCCCATATAATGGTACCTTCCGATATTCGATATTTTGATGATTTTAGCGACATTATTCACCGGAATTGTTTCAAATTTGATATTCGATGGTCGTAATGGATACTTAAGCCTAAGGCAGACAATTATCTGTGCAGTTCCACGTCTTCGTGTAGCCTCCATATAATGGTACCTCCCTATTTTCGGTATTTTGATGATTTTAGCGACATTATTTACCGGAATTGTATCAAATTTCTTATTTGAAGTTCGTACTGGATACTACAGCCTCAGACAGAAAATTGTCTGGGCAGGTCCACGTTTTCGTATAGCC